AAAAAAAAAAAAAAAAAGGAAGAAAGTACATGGTTATTTGGTCAGGAACTTCAGCAAAGCCTCCACTTCCTAAAGGACAGACCTTGTCTACAGGGCCCAGTGGACTGGGAGGCTGGAGCCTGAGCCAGGGATCAGGCTCAGTCCTGACATCGAACACTGAACAGGTCATTCTACTCTCTGCACCTCAGTTCCCATCATGAAAGGGCTAGACTAGAGGGTGTCTAAGGGCCTCTCCCAGGGTCATGGGTTCTCTCACCCCAGCTGACCCTCCCTCTGCTCAGGCCAGATGCAGCCGCCCCACCTCCCCCAGCTGTCTCAGCTTGCAGCCTATCCCATGGGTCCACTGCCTGCTCCCTCTGGGGATTAGCCACTTCCTGAAGGCCATCCACTCATATTTTGCCTCTTGCATTTTATAAAGGCCTTCTACCCCAGACCTTTGAGTACTCTTTTCTTAGTGCCTAGACCAGTTTTTGTGCCCTGGGGTAACTGAGTATACAAGTCTGACCAGGACTGCACTTTCGACTCTTTTGCCAGGGACTATGCCTCCACAAAGATTCCCTGCATTCCAAAGGTCAAGCCCTACCCTCTGGTCCCTGAATTAGGAGGCATATGTCTCCTTCTCCTCAGTGAAAAGCTTCCCTCCTTCTTCCCCTCTGGCAGGGACACTGACTGTGGCACCTACCTGGGACAAGTGAAGTTTTCTCTCCTCCTCATCTCTTGCACACTAACAAAAATAACGGATAGTCAGATTTTTGCTTTGGACTCCAAGCAGCATATCAGTTCAATAACACAGAGTCTAATCCTTGAAATGAATACGGATGTTCCTGGATAAGACCCTTGATGGCCTATTCTTTTTCTTTTTGGAGACAGAGTCTCACTTTGTCAACCTTGGTAGAGTGCTGTGGTGTCACAGCTCACAGCAACCTCAAACTCTTGGGCTTAAGTAATTCTCTTGCCTCAGCCTCCCAAGTAGCTGGGACTACAGGCGCCTGCCACAATGCCTGGCTATTTTTAGAGACCACCTCCCGTTCTGGCTCAGGCTGGTCTCGAACCTGGGAGCTCAGACAATCCACCCATCTCAGCTTCCCAAATGAATGGCATATTCTTTTTTTTGAGACAGAGTCTATGTCACCCAAGGTAGAGTGCCATGGCATCACAGCTCATAGCAACCTCCAACTCTTGAGCTTAAGTGATTCTCTTGCCTCAGCCTTCTAAGTAGCTGGGACTATAGGCACCTGCCACAATGCTCAGCTACTTTTTTGTTGCAGTTGTCATTGTTGTTTAGCAGGCCGGGGCCAGGTTTGAACCCTCCAGCCTCCAGTGTATATGGCTGGTGTCCTAACCACTGAGCTATGGGTGCCAAGCCTGAACAGCATATTCTTGTTTGTGGAAATAAAGACCAAATGTTGAACTGTCAGATTACAAACTATATCTGACTACTCTATTCTTAGCCCAGGTACTCTCTCTCCCTAGTCCCACAATCTCTGAAAAGCCTTGTGTTCCAACCTACTCAGGAAGTTTTATTGTTTTTTTGAGGTTTTTTGGGACAGAGTTTCACTCTGCCACCCTGGGTAGAGTGCCACAGAATCAACATAGCTCACAGTAATCTCAGTTTCTTGGGCTCAAGAGATCTTCTTGCCTCAGCCTCCCAAGCAGCTGGGACTGCAGGCACCTGCCACAATGCCCATCTAGTTCTTCTATTTTTAGTAGAGATGGGGTCTTGCTCTTGCTCAGGCTGGCCTCGAATTCTTGAGCACAAGCAATCCACCTGCCTCAGCCTTAGTCCAGAGTGCTAGGATCATAGGTGTGAGCCACCATGCCTGGCTAACCAGAAAAAATTTTAAAAACCTCTTCGCACTTAAAAAAACAACAACAAAAAAACAGTTTCAAGGTAAATCTTTCACGTCATGGGATGGGCTTTTATATCCTATAACTAGAAGTTTTTGTGATTTCAGGCTGAATCTTTGCAATCAGATAATCAGTTTATTTCACTTGGTGTCCTGCTCCAGGATGTGGCTACAGCCACTTTCTTTCTCCAGGAACATCTTCCAGGTGCTTCCCTGATCTGCTTGTCCAAACACCCCCAGCTACCTGCAGAGCCAGAGGCCACCCATGGCTGGCAGTTTTGTCCCTGCTTCCAGGTTTCAAGGGTAGAGGAGTACTAAAATTCAATCTCACAACACTCTATTATCCAATCAAGGAATTTTAACTAGTTTGTATAGTAAGAAATTAATATGAACACAGTAAAAGGAATTCCAACAGCATAAAATATTGTGAGACATGTACCTCCTGCCTTAGACTTTGAGTCTCCAAGACCTCCCCCGCCAAGAAAGGCATCCACTGTCAGCAGTTTCTTACATATCCATCTAGAAATACTACACAGACACAAGATTATGTAATAGACATCTATCTCCTTTATTACTTACCTATGGGACCATACTATACACACACACCTTGCTTAAGTTATTTGGAGATCATTCTATTTTAGGATATATTTATAAGTTTAGCTAGGTTTTTTTTTCTCCTTGATAATTAATTTTGTTTTTAAGATGAGGTAAAACGAAATTTAGCAAATTTCAGAGATCTTAAGTATACAAATGATTTTGATAAATGTAGACACCATGTAAGCAACACCCCCAATTCCATTGCCCTCCCTGAAAAAGTTCTCTCCACTCCTTCTAGTAATCTGAACTTCCTTTAGGCAACCGCGTCGATTTCGGTGTCCATAGATTGGTTTTGTCTGTTGAACTTCATGTAGATAGAATCATATAGTATGTACACTTGTGCCTGATGCTAAAAAAATACTTTTGAAATTCTTTCCTGTTGTGCACATCCGTTCATTCCTTTTATTACTGTGGCTCAGCAGTTCTCGGCTGCATGAATATACCACAATTTGCCTGTTCTCCTGTTGGTAAACATTTGGGCTGTTCCAATTTGGAGCTATAACGAATAAAACTGTTATACATGTTTCTGTACCAGTCTCGTCTGTGGGCAAGTTTTCATTTCTCTTGGACGTGTGCCTAAGGGTAAGCCTCAGTCTTTTAAAAAGCTACATACTATTCCATTCTAACTATGTACCACAGAATAAACAAGT